TCCTCAGATACTTACCTCATTGAGGAATCCATACTCCATAAACATAATGACACCTTATTTTAGTTTATGTGATTACATGTGATGGTAAGATTTGCATCTACAGCACCTCTCCACTCAGTAAAAACATTGGATTGCTGTAATTGGTAGTAGGAGTAATCCATGCGCTTATGTGGGGGAGCATTGGAATGACATTGATATACAGCGCTCCATTAATTGCCATATGAATAGGGTCTGCAGTGGTTGGTGCTCTGCTGATGCATCACAGTAAAAGAGATGGGTCACTCTGTCTTCTCCAGCCCGCAGCTTTGCCAAGCTCATAATTACTAAAACCTCCAATTAATCTTCCCATCACATAGGCCAAATATACACTTCCTCCCTATATAAATGAGTTACAGTATATGCTCTTAGTAAATGTGCATGCTTGTGTGTGTATGTGTGTGTTTACATAAGTAGGTATACATGTGTGCACTTACGTGTGCCCATGAGAACATCAAGTACAAACAGCACTCTGTGTACTCAACGGCTCCATCGTGAGTCATACAGGTTATCAATACACATGGCATCAGTTGTTATGGTTATTGGTTATTATGGAAAACAGAAAGTTCACAGGCACTTACATAAGACAGGTAAAACTCAAAAATAAATAACCAACTTCTGTGGCTTATGTAAGAGAAAGAAAGACAACATTCACATGTTTAGTGTAATTTTCCTTTAATCTGAAACAGTTTTTTTTTTAAACAAATATTAATCATTGTTAAGTGTTTTATCTGAATGCAAAGTGAAAGCATATAGTTTTTTTTAATGTTTTTATTTTGTGGGTTTATTATATCTATTTTGAATTTTGCCTGTTTGTGAACTTAAAAGAAATGGATATGACTGGATGCTTATATTAATGTTTCAATCTATTTCCTTGGTGTCAGTCCAAGTACAAGTGCCTGTTAATAAGTGCAGCCACTCTGTGTCTGATTTCTGAGAGGTCACAACAGCAGTTAAATGCACACTTCTTCTGAACAATACTTTTGTTTGTGTGTGAGTGTGTCAGTATCTGTGCGTGCATGCATGTATGTGTGTGTGTGTGTGTGTGTGTGTGTGTGTGTGTGTGTGTGTGTGTGTGTGTGTGTGTGTGTGTGTGTGTCTCTCCATGAATATGTATTTCTGATTGTAGCATGGAGTTCTGGCCCCTGGCCATTCAACCTTTACTTATTCTGAATAGCATCTCTTCTCCACACTCCAATCTGGCCACCATTCCTCCAACTATCATATTCACAACACCTTACTGGCACCCAGTGGTGAAAGTTGGTACCGCATCCACTTGATGCTTGGCCGACAGCAGGGGAGATGGAGAACTGTTTACAAGTGGCATTTGCCCCTAATTAAAAGCAGCACTTGTTGGAGCACTTGGTCTGCAGAAGGACTAGCATCCACAGTGATGCAAGATGGGCCACTGATCCTCCTGTAAGCCTCCTCCACTCTGCAGAGACACACACACACACACACATATACACAAACACATTGGTCAACAAATGGTAATACAAATATATACATATAAACATGGCGAACGTATAATCGCACTGTGTAATCTGTTTTCAGGGTAAATTTGAGTATTTTGCCAGCTCAAAGTTTTGGTGAACAGTGAGGACTGTGAGAAAAAGCAACACAACTGAGAAATATAGTATGAGAAAAAACACAGATGGCTCAGAGTGTAGCAATTTCCTAAGACAAATGAACAATAGTCTTTGTGGTAGTGATTGACCAAGTCTGCAGAATCTCTCACTGTCTCAGCGGCAGACAGTCAACTCCCTCCGCTTTCTAATTCTGCTGGCCCAACATCTGGCTGTCCCATGTGGAAAGGCCATTATATCAGGATAGAGGATGAATGAAACTAGCCATCGACCTGTCTGCGTAGTGACTAACTGGGCCGGCAGTGCCTTCGAGTTTTGGCCAGCTTAATGGAGCACAACAGCTCAGCAACTAATCACCTGTTCTTTCTCATCAGCTGCTTCCCCCATGAGACAGTAATTGATTGTTAAGTGTTTGATGGATCAGACTTAGACTGAGCTGACCTGACTCAGTGAAACATGCAGTACAGTTTGTACCCCATCTGTGGTTTCATGCTTTCTCACTTACAGAGAACTTTTTTCATCACTGTGTGAAACATTTGTTCACACACGTCACATAGCTAAGTGTGTCTACTTTGGGGTTTTTTATCGGTCATTATCCACTGTGGGTACCATACAGTAGTGCTGTCATACTGAACCTATATCATCAGAACTATATGTTACAATGTAAATAATAATAATAAATGCCCATCTTATCCAGTTATTTAGGCTTTCAGTATATGTGGTTTAATGATTTTCAATCAACTTTTTCCAAAACAGGTGGACATTTTTTATGGAATACTTGCTTCCAGTGGGATTTTTCTAATAAAACAGATAACTCAGCTTGTATGCTGGATATCACAATTCATGGAATTCATTAGAACTAGCTTATTTGCAATCATTTTAAAATGAACTCAACTATTGCCATTTTAGACTATTAAGACTATTAATCAATTAGTCAAACGCCAGAGAATGAAATGGCAATCATTTTTATTTCAAACAATAAATCGTTCTTAATTTCATATCTGAGTGTATGTTGCTTTACTGTGCTTTGTTTGACTGTAAATTTAATATCTCTGGGTTTTGGACTGTCGGATGCACATATGACAGATTGTAAACTTGTTAACTCCAACTTTTAGGTATCCAACAGATACATACAATCTTACTATCTCACCTGAGTCTGAAAAGCTGGTTGTGGTCCAGCTCTTGCTCCTCCTCTGTCTTTCCTTGACCTCTGTTCCTCAGCCTCCTCTTCCTCTCCTCAGGGTCCAGAGTGAGTAAGACCACCAGATTGGGCTGGAGCAGGTCACTGGGCCAACGGTACACCTCCGAACCTTCAGCCGGCAGGTTGGACAATGGACCGCTCACTGCTGTGGCGATGGCATAGGCAGCTGTGCTGTGCCAGAATCTGGGGACAGATAATGGATGGTGGATTGAAAGGGGAATGATGGATAGCTCTTTTATCAGGTGACTAGCCTCATAGGTAGACCAGGAGATGTTAAATACTGAGTTGTGGGTCTAGATCCCTGTGGAGGGTGTTCTGTTGTCCCCTCTATCCTCCTCAACTTCTTACAAGAGAAAAGAAAAGGTTACAAAACTTTCCCTCCACCAGTGACATCTCAGCTGCCTTTACCTGTCAACGATGACAGGTGTCTTCATGCCCTGCTGGCCTATTTGTTCTGCTGTGATGTAGTTCCCCAGAGCGTAGAAGGCCCTGCGGATGAGGGGTGGCTCCTGATCAAAGCGGGCCCTCCAGGGGGACAGGCACTGGGGAGGGGACCGCAGTAGAACGGCCTCCAGAGTATCCCTCAGAGACTCAGTCAAAGTGGTCTTTCCTGTGATGGGAAGAGGATGTGGGAGAAAGAGTCACCTCACAAACAAAAAAAGAGACACAACGACTGGGCACATTTTCAGAGCATAAAATATAGAATAAGAAAATTTTTTTTTTTTTCTATTTTAGATCTCATAAGGGACTGGTATGAGTCTTGAAATGTTGACCTAGCCTGCTCCTATCCTAGGTACATGGTTTCCATGAGGTTGGTGAAGAGCATTACATGAGCAAGCTATTAAATAAACCATCTTCACAGTGATGTAACTTTTCTGAGGTCAGGATACATGATATTCCATTATGCGACGCTCGCTGGCAGATAATGGCTTTAGCAGACAACAACCTGCAATCACTTTAGCAAGACATCTATACATCAAAACTGATCACATATTTATTTATGAGGTAATGGCATTAACCTGTGGCATCCAGGCCTTCTATGACAATAACAGGGAAGTCTGGTTTGCTTCTGGTCTCCGCTCCACTGGGCAGCAGCTCCAGCACAGACTTGGCCTCTGGGATGATGTCACCACACTGCAGAACAGATAAAATCAGTTTGCTGCAGTGAGAGGAGGCAGGAGGGAGTCATAGACTGTGATGCACATGAACACACACACACACACACACACCCCCACACACACACTTCCGTGGGCCACCTGGCACTGATAGATTAATGGCAGAATCAAGTGCTTTGGGCCACTATGTTATACACTGCTATACCTGCCTCTGCCACATGAGTGCGCCAGTTTGCCACATCATGTAAATGCAGCTCTATCTCTACACTGCTTATTTATGTGACAGCTCTGTGCATTTAATGCGAGTATGATAACCTTTTTTAGGACTTCGTGGGCCTCCTTAAAACTGTAGAACACATCCGAGTTGACGATGTTGAGAACAGATGGGTGGTATTCCGGCGCCTCTGAGGGTACCACATAGTAATCCTTCGACATTTCCATCATCTGGCTCTCTGCAGGTGGCCACAGACGCTGAGTCCACAGTTGACCGTCTTCACCTCTCAAGTATGAGCACACCAGCACCGGGTCACGCTGTATTAACTCTTGCAAAAGTCGTTCTGTCGAGGAGGAACTCTGTGAATCACCTTTGAAGAAATACCCCCTGACGAGAGAATCCTTGACGTCCGGCAGGAACGAGGACATGGGAGACAAATCACTCTCTGGAGACAAGTGTCTCAGGAGTTTGTCCTTCAACTCCCCGTAGAACTTCGCTCTCCTGACTCTGTCGCTGCTGCAGACCAGGAGAGAGTAACACCGCTCATAGTGTTGTGCTTTTGATGTGAACAGCCGCGGCACTTCTTCTCCCCGGTGCTTTTCATTAATTGCAAAATAGTGAGGTGCTCCATCCAGCTCCACTGAGAAAATACGAGAGGACCACTGAGGGAGAAGAGATGCTGTTCGCCGCGCCATTCTGAAGCTAGCTACTTGTCAGCGTCCAACACTACTGATATTGTTGACAGTGTTACGTAAGCAGAATATTGAAGCTGCAGGGGGAAACGAAAGTAGCAGCGTCAAACGTGAGAAACGAAACTTATCCTCAAAAGGAGGGTCAGTACTTCTGGGGAAAAAGTAGTGTTTGTAGAACGATGAACTCAGACACCAGGAGTGAGAAAATAGTTATCATGGTAAAGTAGTGACTCACACATTGTTTTGGCAAGGGCGAAAAATGAACTAGGTGTGAACATATTCCAATTAAAACATAGATACAGAAAAGAAATAATTTAAAAAAAATTAAATAAAATGAAATGAAAAATAAACTTAAATATTTATTTTTATTTAGGAAAAAGATTAATTAGAGCGTTCCTCTGCAAGGTTTTGAAAACTGCTATTATATTTTATTGAAAGTACTGAAGGTGGATTTTAAGGTGGATTGATAATAATGTACTGATATAATCTCCCCTAGTGAGTCACATTTTATCTATTTATTGCGAGAGAGTGAGAGTAATCTGGCCACAAACGCTGAGTTTCGTTTTCGTAGTTTGTAAACAGAAACTCTTGTCAGTCGTTTAGCTGATCAGTTCTCCTTTTCTCATTTGCAGGCGTGCCCTGCAGCTCTCTATTTAAGATGCATCAGCGTCCACTCTGCAAACAGAGCCAAGTGTAATACGGTTAGTATGAAGATGATCCTCTCCTCTGTGGTCGTGCCTCCGAAGCTGCTGCTGCAGCTCTGCCTCAGCACCCTGCACCTCATCTTTGTGAGCATCTTTTCAATAGTTAAGTGCTGGACAGCAGGAGACTGCAACGGAACAAACTCGCCTCGCAGGGCACTGGACGGAAGTAAAGTACAAACAACAACTCCAACAAGTGTCAACTATCATTTTACACGCAAGTGTAATTATAAATGTGGATTTTGTTTCCACACTGCAAAAACATCCTTCGTACTGCCTCTAGAAGAAGCCAAGAGGGGCCTCAAACTTCTGAAGGAAACAGGTAAATCTATCAGGTGAGATATTCTGTTCTTTTATATGCTGTCAAAATTCTTGCTGTTGATTTGATATGTTTGCTTATTAGGCATGGAAAAGATCAACTTTTCAGGAGGAGAGCCTTTCTTGCACGAAAAGGGAGAGTTTCTGGGGAAATTAACTCAGTACTGCAAACAGGACCTGCAGCTCCCCAGTGTCAGCATCGTCAGCAATGGAAGCATGATCAAAGAAAAATGGTTCCAGAAATATGGTAAGCTCCCATTGACTTCATTGTTATATACATTATTTGTAAGCTAACTCCTTTTTACCATATGACACACTAGTTGGCAACATATAAAGAGGAAAAAACTTTTTCCTACATTTGGCACCAATGCAAATGTTATGCAGAATATTCAGAATTACACTATCTTTCTCTGTCAGGTGACTTTCTGGACATCTTGGCCATCTCCTGTGACAGTTTTGATGATGCAACCAACCAGATGATCGGCAGAGCTCAGGGAAGGAAGAGCCACCTTGACAACCTCTACAAGATTTGCAACTGGTGCCAGCAGTATAAAGTGGCGTTCAAAATCAACTCGGTCATCAACACCTTCAACATTGACGAAGACATGACAGAGCACATCATCCAGCTCAACCCAGTCCGCTGGAAGGTAACGACAGAAAAGGAGCTGCCGCCGTTTTAGTGTATATTTGTGTCATCACACATACTCATCCTCATACTCATCACACTTGTGCACAGGTATTCCAGTGTCTGTTGATTGATGGGGAGAATGCAGGAGAGACAGCCCTTAGAGAGGCAGAGAGGTTCATCATCAGCGACCAGCAGTTTCAGGAGTTCCTGGATAGACACAGCGGCGTCTCCTGCCTTGTCCCTGAGTCCAATGAGAAGGTATGAGGCTCCAAACAATTGCAACAAGTATGACTATATGTTTAACTTACATCCATTCTCAATTGAAGTAAACTTCTCATAAGAACCTTTGACACTCTATGATATAAATTAATGCGAGGAATTAGGGTGAGGCGCAGTATTATCAGTGATCCTCTCTCTCTCTTATAATCTTACACTAGCAAAATTGTCATATTGAGATGCTGTGCCTGGAAATTCTGACGTATAAAAGAATGATAGCAAGTTATATCTAACAAATGGAAAAGAGAAAATGAACTAGAGTCTGTATCATGTGAGCTTGTATAGTTAATGTCAAAAAAATGCTATTATATTAATATGTCCCATGCTATCCACTCACTTCAAAAAATTCCTATTAACCTGGGGTGCCCTGCACTCTGCCACCCGTCCCTCTAATTTAACAATATCAAAATATAAATGGGAAATAAACAATGATAAGAATTCTACTTGTGGCTAAATTTATTTGCTAATATCCGAATACATGTATCACACTGTGCTCATCAGTTTGCACAAGCAGTAAATAGTTAATGTGAATGAAAAAGGGATTCTTTTCTGCCACAGTAAATTTTAATTTCAAAATAAGAAGAGAAAACAAATCTTACAATTAGAGTACAAACTATCCAGGTTATTGTCATTCAGCTTCGAAGCAGACTAATAAAATACTCTTGAGGAAGTGAAACAAGAGTGTGTGCAAGTGCAGTGTGTCATACAACCTGAAACTTTGCAGCCACTTTCATTTGACTTTCTGCCAAGGTCAGTCAGTCAGTAATGAAACTGTAAAATATTTGTAAGACATTTTTTTGTTCGGAGTGGAGCAACATCAGCAGTGTTGGTGACATGTACAGTTAATGGTCTAACAGTGTTAGGAATGAAAAGGCAGGCACTACAAAAGCAACATTTTCACTTGTCATCTTGGTTGTCTTCACAGATGAGAAACTCCTACCTAATCCTGGATGAATATGTAAGTACTTTATATTGTTTATGGATTTAACTAATTTCCCTACAGATTTCTACTTTTACAGGCCATATGCATCCTACCTTAGTTAGTGTGACTGTGCCTCCACATTTCCTAAAAGTTAGCTTTAGCACTTCACTCCAGGTAATTTACCTTATCTGATGAGCATTTAAAGGTGTGACTCCCAAGCTAATTTACCTTGTCTTCATTTTCAGATGCGTTTCCTGGACTGTCGAGAGGGAAGGAAGGACCCATCCAGGTCCATCCTTGATGTGGGAGTAAAAGACGCCATTTGCTTTAGTGGCTTTGATGAAAAGATGTTTCTGAAGAGAGGAGGGAAATATGTGTGGAGCAAAGCTGACATGGAGCTTGACTGGTGAAATTCTGCCATCCAAGTTTTGATTTGAGCGATTGCACTAATAATTTGTAGTTGTGAATGTTTGTAAATTTATTTTTGTCTGTTACTTTTATAACTCACCATTCTGCTTGAGATTTTTGAAAAAGCAGTGGAATTTTAAATATTTCATTAAAGATAAGCACTGTTGTTTCAATGCACTGTAAATGTGGAAGCTTGTGACCAAATGAAATGTAATAAAACATATATTAGATTTAAAAAAATATTAAAGAGTGGTTTATCTTCATTTTTGCATTTTACACTGATCTGATTTGATGCCAAGGTCCACTACATATATACTGTTGCCCATAAAGTTGGAATAATTTTGTTTTTAGACACAGTCCTCTGTTTATTCCTATTTAAATGCATCAGTAATCACTTTTGACCAGGTGCGATGATTACATTGTGTGTCCTAATTACCCAGGTGAAATGAAATAACTCACATTGTCATAATCATTTCATGGAAAGAGGAAAGAAATATTTTATCCCAACTTTATTAGTAACAGTGTATATAAAGGCATCAAAGGTCATAAAAATGTCATCGTATGGCAAGGCATTAAACGAAATAATATAATTAGGCATAAAAATGCCAAAAAATGTCAAAATATAATATGGCATAAAACGTCAAAAATACTTCATAGTATATTAAGGCATAACAGGTCATATAAACGTCATAGTATGGCAAGGCATGAGACAAATTGATATAATTAAGCATAAAAATGCCAAAAAATGGCAAAGTGTAGTATGGAAGGAAAATGCCAAAAATGTCATAGTATAGTATGGCATAAAACGTCAAAAATACTTCATAGTATATTAAGGCATAACAGGTCATATAAACGTCATAGTATGGCAAGGCATGAGACAAAATGATATAATTAGGCGTAAAAATGCTAAAAAATATCTTAGTATAATTTGGCATAAAATGTCAAAAAATGTCATAGTATAGTATGTCATAAAATGTCAAAAATACATTATACTATATTAAGGCATAAAAGGTCATAAAAACGTCATAGTATGTCAAGGCATGAGACGTAATAATATAATTAAGCATTGAAATGCCAAAAAACGTCAAAATATAGTATGGAAGAAAAATGCCAAAAAACGTCATAGTATAGTATGGCATAAAACGTCAAAAAATCAACATCCTATATTAAGGCATAAAAGGTCATAAAAACGTCATAGTATGTCAAGGCATGAGACGAAATAATATAATTAAGCATTGAAATGCCAAAAAACGTCAAAATATAGTATGGCAGAAAAATGCCAAAAAACGTCATATGGCATAAAACGTCGAAAAACCAACATACTATATTAAGGCATAAAAGGTCATAAAAACGTCATAGTATAGTATGGCATAAAACGTCAAAAAATCAACATCCTATATTAAGGCATAAAAGGTCATAAAAACGTCATAGTATGTCAAGGCATGAGAAGAAATAATATAATTAAGCATAGAAATGCTAAAAAATGACAAAGTGTAGTATGGCAGAAAAATGCCAAAAAACGTCATAGTATAGTATGGCATAAAACGTCAAAAAACCAACATACTATATTAAGGCATAAAAGGTCATAGAATCGTCATAGTATGTCAAGGCATGAGACAAATTGATATAATTAAGCATAGAAATACCAAAAAATGATAAAGTGTAGTCTGGAAGAAAAATTGCAAAAAACGTCATAGTATGTCAAGGCATGAGACAAATTGATATAATTAAGCATAGAAATGCCAAAAAATGATAAAGTGTAGTATGGAAGAAAAATGCCAAAAAACGTCATAGTATAGTATGGCATAAAATGAAAAAAATAAATCATACTATATTAAGGCATAAAAGGTCATAGAATCGTCATAGTATGTCAAGGCATGAGACAAATTGATATAATTAAGCAAAAAAATGCCAAAAAACGAGAAAGTGTAGTATGGAAGAAAAATGCCAAAAACGTCATAGTATAGTATGGCATAATACGTTAAAAAAACATCATGCTATATTAAGGCATAAAAGGTCATAGAAGCGTCATAGTATGTCAAGGCATGAGACGAAATAATATAATTAAGCATAGAAATGCCAAAAAATGCAAAGTGTAGTATGGAAGGAAAATGCCAAAAATGTCATAGTATAGTATGGCATAATACGTTAAAAAAACATCATGCTATATTAAGGCATAAAAGGTCATAGAAGCGTCATAGTATGTCAAGGCATGAGACGAAATAATATAATTAAGCATAGAAATGCCAAAAAATGCAAAGTGTAGTATGGAAGGAAAATGCCAAAAATGTCATAGTATAGTATGGCATAATACGTTAAAAAAACATCATGCTATATTAAGGCATAAAAGGTCATAGAAGCGTCATAGTATGTCAAGGCATGAGACGAAATAATATAATTAAGCATAGAAATGCCAAAAAATGCAAAGTGTAGTATGGAAGGAAAATGCCAAAAATGTCATAGTATAGTATGGCATAATACGTTAAAAAAACATCATGCTATATTAAGGCATAAAAGGTCATAGAAGCGTCATAGTATGTCAAGGCATGAGACGAAATAATATAATTAAGCATAGAAATGCCAAAAAATGCAAAGTGTAGTATGGAAGGAAAATGCCAAAAATGTCATAGTATAGTATGGCATAATACGTTAAAAAAACATCATGCTATATTAAGGCATAAAAGGTCATAGAAGCGTCATAGTATGTCAAGGCATGAGACGAAATAATATAATTAAGCATAGAAATGCCAAAAAATGCAAAGTGTAGTATGGAAGGAAAATGCCAAAAATGTCATAGTATAGTATGGCATAATACGTTAAAAAAACATCATGCTATATTAAGGCATAAAAGGTCATAGAAGCGTCATAGTATGTCAAGGCATGAGACGAAATAATATAATTAAGCATAGAAATGCCAAAAAATGCAAAGTGTAGTATGGAAGGAAAATGCCAAAAATGTCATAGTATAGTATGGCATAATACGTTAAAAAAACATCATGCTATATTAAGGCATAAAAGGTCATAGAAGCGTCATAGTATGTCAAGGCATGAGACGAAATAATATAATTAAGCATAGAAATGCCAAAAAATGCAAAGTGTAGTATGGAAGGAAAATGCCAAAAATGTCATAGTATAGTATGGCATAATACGTTAAAAAAACATCATGCTATATTAAGGCATAAAAGGTCATAGAAGCGTCATAGTATGTCAAGGCATGAGACGAAATAATATAATTAAGCATAGAAATGCCAAAAAATGCAAAGTGTAGTATGGAAGGAAAATGCCAAAAATGTCATAGTATAGTATGGCATAATACGTTAAAAAAACATCATGCTATATTAAGGCATAAAAGGTCATAGAAGCGTCATAGTATGTCAAGGCATGAGACGAAATAATATAATTAAGCATAGAAATGCCAAAAAATGCAAAGTGTAGTATGGAAGGAAAATGCCAAAAATGTCATAGTATAGTATGGCATAATACGTTAAAAAAACATCATGCTATATTAAGGCATAAAAGGTCATAGAAGCGTCATAGTATGTCAAGGCATGAGACGAAATAATATAATTAAGCATAGAAATGCCAAAAAATGCAAAGTGTAGTATGGAAGGAAAATGCCAAAAATGTCATAGTATAGTATGGCATAATACGTTAAAAAAACATCATGCTATATTAAGGCATAAAAGGTCATAGAAGCGTCATAGTATGTCAAGGCATGAGACGAAATAATATAATTAAGCATAGAAATGCCAAAAAATGCAAAGTGTAGTATGGAAGGAAAATGCCAAAAATGTCATAGTATAGTATGGCATAATACGTTAAAAAAACATCATGCTATATTAAGGCATAAAAGGTCATAGAAGCGTCATAGTATGTCAAGGCATGAGACGAAATAATATAATTAAGCATAGAAATGCCAAAAAATGCAAAGTGTAGTATGGAAGGAAAATGCCAAAAATGTCATAGTATAGTATGGCATAATACGTTAAAAAAACATCATGCTATATTAAGGCATAAAAGGTCATAGAAGCGTCATAGTATGTCAAGGCATGAGACGAAATAATATAATTAAGCATAGAAATGCCAAAAAATGCAAAGTGTAGTATGGAAGGAAAATGCCAAAAATGTCATAGTATAGTATGGCATAATACGTTAAAAAAACATCATGCTATATTAAGGCATAAAAGGTCATAGAAGCGTCATAGTATGTCAAGGCATGAGACGAAATAATATAATTAAGCATAGAAATGCCAAAAAATGCAAAGTGTAGTATGGAAGGAAAATGCCAAAAATGTCATAGTATAGTATGGCATAAAACGCATAGAAATGCCAAAAAACGTCAAAAAGTAGTATGGCAGAAAAATGCCAAAAAACATCATAGTATAGTATGGCATAAAACGTCAAAAAAACATCATACTATATTAAGGCATAAAAGGTCATAAAAACGTCATCGTATGTCAAGGCATGAGACGAAATAATATAATTAAGCATAGAAATGCCAAAAAGTGACAAAGTGTAATATGGAAGAAAAATGTCAAAAAACGTCATAGTATATATATATGGCATAAAAAGTCAAAAATACATCATAGTATATTAAGGCTTAAAAGGTCATAAAAACGTCATAGTATGGCAAGGCATGAGACGAAATAATATAATTAAGCATAGAAATGCCATAAAAAGAAAAAGTGTAGTGTGGAAGAAAAATGTCAAAAAATGTCATAGTATAGTATGGCATAAAACGTCAAAAAACCAACATACTATATTAAGGCATAAAAGGTCATAGAATCGTCATAGTATGTCAAGGCATGAGACGAAATAATATAATTAATCATAGAAATGCCAAAAAATGTCAAAATATAGTATGGCAGAAAAATGCCAAAAAACGTCATAGTATAGTATGTCATAAAATGTCAAAAATACATTATACTATATTAAGGCATAAAAGGTCATAAAAACGTCATAGTATGACAAGGCATGAGACAAATTGATATAATTAAGTATAGAAATGCAAAAAAAACATCATACTATAGCATGGCATAAAAAGTCAAAAATACATTATACTATATTAAGGCATAAAAGGTCATAAAAACGTCATAGTATGACAAGGCATGAGACAAATTGATATAATTAAGCATAGAAATGCTAAAAAATGACAAAGTGTAGTATGGCAGAAAAATGCCAAAAAACGTCATAGTATAGTATGGCATAAAACGTAAAAAAACCAACATACTATATTAAGGCATAAAA